CACACACACACACACACACACACACACGCACACACACACACACACACACACACACACACGGCTTTGTGTGAATCAGGAGGAAATGGGAGTGTTGTGTGTGAGGCGGTGTCCTGTTATTTACCTTGAGGACTGCTGACGTGTTGACATGAACCAAGCGAACCTCTGACAAAATCGTCTTCCACACCTCAGAATCATCCTCACGGTTCACAACGTCCTCAAACACATCGAAATATCAATGTTGTGATCAATATCGACATCACTGTCATCTGCGTAAATCTATATTCAAGATTGATTTTTGCACATCATATTTAGTTCAATCACACATGCTGTGCAAATTGCCTTTTGCACTGCCTTGCCCGCTGACATCTGGATTTTGGCTTGTTTTACTGACGCTTCTCTCTAAGCAGCAAGGTCATCTTGCATTTGTGTTGACAGAAGTGTAAAAGCAAATCAATTCAACTAACGCTAGGAGCTTCATTGATGTAAACAATGCATCCGGCATATGCAGAATGTCACGTGACCAAACCTGCAAAACAAATTACGGGGACTTTTTGTGTACTCGCACTGGAAGTCTGTGTTCCCTCATCGTGTTGATGGAAGCCAACAACTTTGGCTTTTCACTACATTTCTTTTCGATTTAAAAGGGCTTACATTAACTAAAATCCCGTGTCGCATTATGGCCAAAGGCAGAATCCTGCCAAATTATGGTGCCTTTTGGTGCTGTAAATAGTAAATTGTTGCTCTGGATGATGATGCATGTTAAAGAGGTGGCGGTAATGCACCAAGAGTATTAACCAAACAGAAAGGAGAAGAAGAAATGGAAGAAGTACGGTTTTGTGTTACACTGAAGTTCTAGCAGTCATTTGGGAATCATAAATGTTCTGTAAACACTGTATTCTGATTAATGCAAAATAAGAAGTAAGGTTAGTGGGGCTGCCATTTTGGCCTTGCACTGCCATTTTGGCCTTGCACTGCCCTTACAAACTAAATACATGGCGGCGGGTTCAATGTCTTCTTGTTTTATGTTTTATGGTTAGTTTGTTTAAATTTTTGATGGGGAAAAAAAGATTAAAAAAAAAACTTTGTCCGACCTACCAACTCTATGCTGAAATTTCATGTTACCGGAAACACACTATCTTTTTTGTTTGGCCTTACAGTTTCCCTTGGAGGGCCGCGATTACTGAAAATATATAAAGAAGTCAAGAATAACGGTTTATTCACCTATTGTTTAAGTTACCTGAATAAGGGATTTCATAAAAAGAAAATGATTCCAGCCACTCTTATTTATTACAAAGGAGAATTTAAAATTTTGATAGAGATTTTAGTAAGCATCATGAAAGTTGACATTTGATTTGCTTTCGCGAGCCACATAAAATGATGTGGCGTGCCAGATCTGGCCCCCTGGCCTTGAGTTTGAGACCTGCGCCCTAGGAAGACCAAACTAATATAAAAAACAGGTGAGCTGTGATGTTCACATTGCAAACCCAATTAGTTCCTGTGAGATGACTTACCACTCTCCAAAGGTTTTGGGCGGGCATGGACACGTTGAAGTCGATGTAGCCCGACACTTCCTGGGCATGGGGGCTGACGGGGGCTGCGACGTCATGGCTGCCGCACACAACAAAAGACACAATTAAGTCCCATGGTTGCGGGCGTCCCCAAATGCGTTGCAGGATAACAATAAGAATTACCTGTTGAGAAATCGCGATGTCATTCCATGAAGCAGCTGGACCATATCGCCATGACGCACTGCACGAGGAGGATGGCCTACGGCGAGGTCGGCCCTGATGCAGGTGACGCACACATGATTGACATGTTTACCTTGACCACCACCCGCCCACCAGGTCTACCTACTTGTCAGCGTTCTTGACGATCCACCAGTTGTTGACGTCCTTGAATGCGTAACAGGTCACCTGCTGCTGATGAGAGCTACCGCGACCGTTCTCATACCTGCACATTCATGCAGGCGCGCGCGCGCACACACACACACACACACACACACACACACACACACACACACACACACACACACACACACACACACACACACACACACACACACACACACACACACACACACACACACAAACACATTCACACAGACACACATGCACACGCAAACACGCACGCAAGGGATGGGCATTCAGATTTAGCGAGATGCCACCTGAGGGGCTGCTGTTCCCTGTGAGTTGGCGGAAGGACACCTGATTGGATAGTTGGCTTTGTGAGAATGCAGCCAGCACGGGACAGGCTGGGAGGCAGAGCTTCTCAAAGTCACCTGACTACCATACGCAACCTCCAGGGGCTGACCTTGCGTGATCCGTGACAGACCGCCCTGAGTGACGCAATCAAACAATCAATTTGCATCATGTTTTTCAGTTATCGTGTGTGTGGGCACATACATGTGCACACATGTGTGTAAGTGCGTGCGTGTATGAGTGTGTGTCTGTTTATGTGCCTGTGTACCTCAAGGCTGGCTTGGAAGGCGGGGCTCATCAGCTGGTCATGTGGTCCAGTGCGGTGCAGAAGAGTGAGGTGCAGATAGAAGCAGAGAACGTACAGCACCGCAGGAAGCACCAGCAGACACACACCACGACACACACACTCAAAAAACACGCTCACCTAACACAGAAACAGACTAAGATGCGTTATAGTGCTTCTGGGGATGCATTTGCATGTGTGCACTCACGCCGCTCACACGAGTGTCACTAATCATCTTCCAGCAGTGCACACAGGCCACGCCTACTAGCAGTAGGTAGGAGAAGGCGCCCATGTACTTCACCCTGAATATGCAAACACATGCACACGGGTCACAGCGCGTGTGTGTGTGTGTCTCTGTGCGTGGATGAATGTTTCTAACCCGATGGCGGCAGCGCAGGACGTTCCGGAGAGGAGGAGCCAACTGTATCTGACAGGCCAGCTATGAGGTTAGAGGTCAGAGGTCACAGCATGTCCTCCCTGCAAGGTTTAGAGGCAGCAATGGTCTGGACTCACCTGCTGCTGGCACGGTAGAAGCGCAGGTACGACAGGAAGGACAAGAGGATGAAAAAAATCAGGATTGACTCCAGCAGCATCAGCCGCGATTGGACAATTAGAGCGTTGTCTGCAAATAACAACAGGGACACCTCAATTTACAATGTGTGCCTGTGTGTGAGTGTGACATATGTGGTTACCTAGCAAAAGTAGCAGCGCTGCTCCCAACGCTGACATGTGACCAAAGCCCAACTCCAGAGTCACGCAATATGCCAGAGGAACGCACAACGCTCCGCACACTGCCGGGAGGACACGCAGACTCCACACGCTTACACCGCATGGGTACTCTGTTACCCAAAACAAACACACACATGCAATCAATGATGCAAAACACACACCCACACACACACACACACACACACACACACACACACACACACACACACACACACACACAGAAAAGTATTTTGGTCGTCATGGTAACCCACCCCCCAAGGCCAGGATCATGTGACCAAGTGGCGGTCCGCTGTCATCAATAAAGAAAATCCTCTTCATGTAAAGAGACACAAATTGGCCGTAGTAAACTTCATCAAAGCTGCACACACACGCACAGACAGATGTCCCATTATAAGAGATTGAATGTATATTAGATCTGATATTGCGAAGTGTGCTAATTGAGTGCTGCTTACACAACGGCGTTGGGGTGCGCAAGGCGGTGCACCCGGGTCCAGAAGGCGAGGAGAGACACCAAGACCAGAAGCAGGTCCACGCGGACAGTCACCACCAGGGGGAGCCGCAGTACCATCCTCAACACTACACCGGTTGGTTGTTGAGAAATTAAACAGAAAAAAACCCTTTCAGTGCACTCAGTGACATGCAGCGGTGCCTTGAAATGCGAGTGACCCGATTTATAAGATTTTCGAGATACGATTCATTGTTTGGCAGCTTTGTTTTTGCTTTGATTTGCAATCATTTCACACATAAATGTTGGCACACCATTCAGCTCTGAGCTGCTGCTTGCGAACTGGGGAGAATATGAACACACTAACGCGCTACAGCGAGGCTGCGCTTGCTAGCTAGAGCGGCTAAACATCCTTGTCTCTGAGGCGGCAAATAAGATGGCAATTATAATCAGCATTGTTAACACTAAAGGCGGATGAGGAGTACGTTAAGCATCCAACACTGAGCAAGAGAGAAAATAAAATGCCAATCCCAGTCATTGAGACGATGTGTCTCCAAATAAACTTTTCACAGAAATCTGGCTCGACCTATGTTTCAGCAGAGAGCAACCAGCTATGAACAACAAATTACGAGGTCAATTAATAAGTGTCAAGAGGGAAAATAAAAGTACAGTGAACAGTGACACACATCCCCAAAACTAGAAATGAACAGATACATGAGCCAGCACGAGCTGCTTATAAGGTCAAAAGTATAGTATTTCATATTTTAAATATTTACAATATCGCTTATGCAAAATTTGAATGAAAACAAGCAGAGAGAAGAATAAATCTGATTCTTTCTGCCTGTTTTCGCAGGAAATATTTATGTGTGACATTTAAAATAACTTAATACTTCAAGTTTTATTTTTACACTAAAGTTTATATCTCCATCGGTACCGTTACTGTGAAGGGATTTAGGTTATACCATGTATGCATTTTAGGCTATATGTATCGCCCAATTCCCACCTTCGAATGCAGCATACGTTCATTCACATGTACATAGGGTCAGGTCACTGCAGCCTCATCTTTGGAGCCTTAGTGATGACTTTTTCATTTTTTTCTTTTAACATTTGTTGTAATGTCAGGTAAAAATGTTGTAATATTTTTCCATGTTATTTTTTTCATTTTTCTTTCAGTACTTCATTTGTAATTAAAATGTTATGGTACTCTGCAGTTTAGTTCTCTGTACAGATGCTTTAAAAGTAGCAGTTTAAAAACTCAACAGGAAAAAAAAGTGATAATAATGAAGCTATATCGTAATCTTTTTCGGGGCCATTTTGCCCAGCCCTTGCGTTTATATATGTAATTAAATTAAATTCATTGTTTTCACGGGTACTGTATATCTGTACGTTCACTTAAGAACAGAGTGAGGGTACTATTGTCACATTGGTAAGAATTCATTTTTGCTTTAATACGTCTGTAATTTTCAGCCGGTACTTTACTTTTACTTAAGTAAAAATAAGAAAAATAGTACTTCTCTTATCATTAAGAAGTCATCATTCTTAATCATCCATCATGACGATAAACCGAATCCAGCCAACAGGTATCATTATTGCAAGCATGCTATTATTGCTCGAGGCTGACGCTGGCTGTCCAAGCTAAAGCTAATGCTACAGCTAATGCTAATAGAAATGCTCACAGCGGTAGTGTCAAGTCGACCGTGTTGAGCGGCTCATCCTGGCCTCGGAGCAGCAACCAACCGCCGGCCGGTGCAGTTCGGTCCGGTCCGTTCGTGTCTCTTCCTCCCCGAAATCGACGTTAGCTCGGGAGCGACGTTTCCTTAACGATTGATACTGCCTGGCTCACTCACTCGCTGCTCCGGTCGCAAACCTGGGCGTTGCTATGGAAACAACAGTTTCGGATTGCGACTTTCTCACACAATCTAATGACCAATCGATAATCACACGAACAACATCCAAATTATGACTTCATCAACTTGCTTGATTTCGCGTGTCCTATCATTATTCTTGAATGGTACAGACGCGTCCCCCCCAACACACACACACACACACACACACACACACACACGCACACACAAACACACACACATTCACGCATTCACGCACGCGCTCTCTCACACGCACACGCGCGCGCACATACACAGACGAAAAACAGGCTAACGGGGAGCAAATGGGTCCCATGAGTATATATAAAAGGAGCTTCCCAGAATTGCTTAGTCATTCACAATCAAAGATGGGGTGAGGTTCACCTCTTTTTGAACAACTTCGTGAGAAAATAATCGAACAGTTGAAGGATAATGTTCCTTTATGTTGCAAGACATTTCAGTTCAACCAGTGTCAGTAAATACAGTTAGGCGCTGCATCAATCAATCAATCAAACTTTACTTTTAGAGCAGTTTTCATACATGGCAGTGCAACCCACAAGGACACAAATACACATATACAGACATCCCACAATAGTAAAAGGAAAGAGTGCAATAAATGAGAATGAGACCAGAAGCTGGGTACAGAGCGTCTCAGCCGGTCCGCACTAGAACCAGATCGATGCTGTAGCTCTTCACATGAACAGCGACCAGGGACCCATGAGGCAGGAGCACAGCCACAAGGAAGTCTTTTGGTCAGTCTTCCCAGAAAGTGGGATTATGGGGAGGGTTGGTAAGGGTGCCAACTCCGCCCGATGTTCACTTTTCACTTCGTCAACTGTAGGCATAACAATTCTAATACTTTTGTCTTGATTATTTTCGGTTCAACTTCTTCCATGAAGCTTCATTATACTTACTCCTCATCCTTGTAGAAAGTTTACCCAGAAGATTGGAAGCCAAAGAGAAAGTGGGAATAACTCTCGATGTCTGAATGTGTGTGTGTGTCTGTGTGTGTGTGTGTGTGTGTGTGTGTGTGTGTGTGTGTTAATCCAAGCAACTCGAGCTGGGGCAACGCTAACACAAAGTACTGAATCATACATCCTAGCAACAAGCACTTCATGCACTAACCCAAACTGAGGAGGCAGCAGGTACGTCCATTGTCCTTTTCTGAACAAAGTTTTCCACCATTAAGTATATCCTCGGATCCATGTACGGGATTATACTTAATGGTAGAAATGTGTGAACTCATTGAAAAATTCTCTTTTAGATGAGCTAGGAAGTATCACCATGAAGGATTTGTCTCTGTCGTCGCTGAGTCGAGGTTGCGGTCGTGTCATCACAGGGAACGCAAGCGAACATGGTCGCCTGGACGTCTGCTTCACGCCGCAGGTGCTCACATATCAAATTTCATATGAAATATTAGTATGAGAGAAAGCAATATAAGCATCGACTGTCACTTAGTGTCATTTATTACTTTATTCTTGCTTGCTCTGCCCTTATTCAGTTTGGAAAGGAACTAGAAATGGTCGTACTGTACATGACCACCATGTAACCCACCAACAATCTTCTGGCTTTCTTGAACGCTTGACAAAGAAAAGTAAACTGAAACATACAGCAGAGTCTTTTAAGGCATCGTGGTTAATCGTGCAAATATGAAAAGACTTGAAAAAATAAGTTTAGAAAAATGGTGAATCTGTGTATCATTCTTTTTTTCCCTTTCCAAATGGCAATCGAAAATCAAAAATGTGAAAAGAAAGCACTTTTCTGAGCACTTTCCATAGATTCTCAATTGGATTCAGGTTTGGACTTTGATGAGGCCATTCAAACACCTGGATATGTTTAGTTCTGAACCATTCCATTTCAGATTTCATTTTATTTTTAAGATCATGATCTTGTTGGAAGATAAATCTCCAGTCTCAATTCTTTTGCAGACTCCAACAGGTTTTCATCCAAAATGGCCCTGTATTTGGCTTCATCTACAAAGTATCTTCCCATCAAATCGAACCATCTTCCTTGTCCTTGGTGAAGAATAGCAGCCCCAAACTATGATACTACCACCATGTGATGTGCAGTGTTACTTTAATGGAAAACGTAACATCTTCCATTTTGTCCAGAAAGTTAAACTTTGGTCTCATCTGATGAGAGCACCATCTGCCATGTTTGTTGTGTCCCGAACTTCAAATTTAGTTGTCTTTGAGAAATGGCTTTCTTCTTGCCACTCTTCCATAAAGGAGAGATACGAGCAATCTGTCCCACCTAGGCTGTGGATTTCTGCATTTCATCCAGAGTGATCATGGGGGATCTCTGATCAGCACTCTTCTTGTTTGGGTCATTTGTCATTTGTCCACCCTGGATGGTCTCTGAATATATATATATATATATATATATATATATGCAGTGATAATTTTACAGTTTACCCGCAGCAAGTCCCAGGGACTCGCTGATCAGAAAAGTATGAGTCCCATTATGCATTTAGAGAGTCCCAAATTTCGAATTCTGAAATGGTCTACTTATTCAATTGCATATGATAATAACACAAACAACAACATATTGTGGGACAAATAAATTATATCTTATCTTATATCCATACAATTATAAACAAATGCTGCAAAAATTTAAATCATTCAGTAGCAGGCCTGAGGATCTCGGAAATTCACGGGAACCGTTTTTCGGTTCCGTTGGGTTTACCCAATGGGAAATTACGCTAACTAATTTTGGGTTCCGTAAACGTTCATCATGGGAACCCATTTTTCTATTTTGACTGATATTCATAATCAAGAATTCTGAAACTCAAAAGTATAATGTTTCAAGGGTAAATGTTTGAAAACTATGCATTAACAATGAACAATACATCAGCAGCTGTGTACTCCAGGTTTATTCACAAAAATAATGGATCAAAATATCAGTGTTGTGGTCCTCGAGCCGGTCCTTGGCCTTGGAGGAAAGTCCTTGGCCTCGGAGTCAAGTCCTCGGGTCTTCGGGTTCCGAGGACCGCAAAAATCGTTAAGAAATCAAACAAACTCCATCCAGGGAAACCCACATTGTTGGATTTATCTGGCGCTTTAAGAGGGGCGGGGCTGCCAGTGACAGGTGACAGCGCAACGTATAAAGAGCGGCATCAGAGTTAGTTTCAATCACGGTCAGTTACCGTTCGCGATCGGCAGTTTAAGTAGCGTGTAAAGTGTTTCTGTAACAGTGGTGTCTTTTATGTAGTTATTTTTGCATAGTTGTCACGTTGTGCGGTGGCACTAGAATGTTTGTTTGAACCAAGTAATTTGCGTTACAGCTGGAGTCAATAATACCGGCACTTCACTTCCGGGTTTGGCCGTTGGGATTTGTAGTCCTTTTGCTCAATTCCAGTGATGTTTGCTGAATGCTTTCTCATGTTTAGAATAATGAATATTGATAATACATAGTTTAAAATCATGGTTGATTGAATTATTTATTATTATTGTGAAGTTGAAGGTATTAAATTAATGTCAACTAAACACATTTACATTGTGATGCCGAAGGTAGATATATTCATTAAATTGCATTTGTTTACTTGATGTTATTACCTGCTACCTGCTACTGCTCCTTATCCTGAATCTGCTATTTATCCTGCATGTGCTACTTTATCTGCTTATGCTATCTGCTACCGCTTCTGATATCATTCTACTGTTTCTGCAACTACCATCTGCTTCAATAAATGATCAAAAACGGACAGAGCGAGTAATCCTTCCATGCCGACTGACAAACCCTATTCAGAGGGCCGTGAAAACGGAAATAACTGAACACATATAAAATTACAAATTTTTTTCGCCTACAAGTGATACATCATGTTTGGCTATTTTATCGCCCAAGAAATTACTTTTATCATAACTCTTGCTTTACTTAACGAAAATATAATTTCTTCGATCGCCGTGTATATCATCAATACAGCTATTCCGCCCAATATATTACTTTTATCTGGTGTCAGGTCAGGCCTCAGCCTGCTACTGGTACCCTGTAACCCAGTACCACCTGCCCCAGGGTCGGGTCGTCGGCGACTAAACCGGCTCCCCCCACCTGTCCTCGCAAGAGGACTCGTGAGGAGGGTGGCTAGACACCCTGTAGACCTAAA